CTTAAAACTCCTTCTGGCCTACAGCTGATGCAGCATGGCTACTGCGGAGTCTCCCAAACATCAGCTCAGGAGAAAGGCTCTTAAGTGGAAATGGGAAAACCAAGAGGAAGAACAACACTTGATACTAGTGCCACAGGTCATAAGAAAGTAGGAAAAGCAGAAAAAGGATGATGACAGTAAGAGGAGTAAAGCAGGTGTCACAAACAAGAATCAGGAGGAGATTATGATTATGGGAGAAATGAGAAACAGCACTCAGTGGTGATGAAAGGAAAAAGTATTTGGGGAATATCTGTCTGAGATGGTCCCTTTCTCCAACGTAATGGTCCAAGAGTGAAAATTTCTCAGATTTGTTTCTGTACTGAAAAATGTCATTTTGTCAGACATGAAATGTCTCTAGTTAGCATGCCCACAGAATTGCTATTGGAGGGCAAGTCAGGAACGGAAGCACTGAGGCACACAGCACAGTGTTTGAGGATGCATGCCAGTTCCCAAGTAGCTCTCCAGCTGAAGACATACATAAGGCTCCACAAATGCATAGAGGGCATGCTGCGACTGTACTCCCAGATACTTCCACAGCTATACATATAGCTGAACCTCACTATTTCAAATGATCCAGCTGCACAATATTCTGTCAATGGAAGAAGTTTTGTGTTAGGTGTAAGCAAGTTAAAGTTGTTAGATTATGCTGTTTTATCTGATGCCTGTTTCTTTTAAGTGAAAGAAACAAACAAGTAAGAGTGAATGGGAAGAATGTGTCCTTCCACTAGCCACCACTACACTGCAGCAATATCAATCTCCATTAATTCAAATGCTAATACTGTTCCAAAGCATTAGGGTTACTGAGGTTCCACTGTGCGTGATTTAACTTAACACAGATACTCCTTTCAAAGGCAAAGAGGTCCAAAATATGATGCTCCACCAGATTAATTTATTATTTGCAACTCAAGCTACGTTTTCTATATGACCATCATAAATTAACATCTATCACACACACATACAAGTATGTTTGTATGTTTATGTGGGTGTTGCATTTTCAAATTAGTCATTTCAGGGAATTAATGTGTCATATGGAAAACAGCTTGAATAAACAAAAAAAATATTAATTCAATGGGGCGACCAAGACAGACTATTATTCTTAGCAAACTGTGTGTTCTTGTTTGCCCTTCAGCAGGGAACATGTCAAGTAAGCAAGCATGCAACACATTAGTGGAGGACTGTCCCAACTCTTCAGAAACCATAGGTCAGGATGGTCAAGATTATCAAAACTGCCCGTGGAAGAAGAGAGCATTAGGAGCGTTGAGTGATACATTCAGAATGCTGCTCTACCTTCCTCTGTCCACAGCAGAAGATGACAACAGAAGGGCCACAAAATCAGCAGGAGGAACATCTCATCTTTGCATAGTAGCTCAAGTCTTGTGTACTGG